ACATGGATAGAGAACTGGCTACAGGAACGGGTCCAGAGAGTATCTGTAAATGGCACCTTTTCAGTAGGGCTAGTGTAATGAGCGGTGTGCCTCAAGGATCTGTGCTGGGTCCGATACTGTTCAACCTATTCATTAATGATATCGGGGAGGGAATAAATAGCCATGTTTCCGTGTTTGCAGATGATACAAAAATAGGGAGGGTACTAGAAACGGATCGTGACAATATAATATTGCAGGAGGATATAGACATATTTGAGAGGTCTTTTTCTTGTATGATCCCGAAGATAAACCATTTACCGGTCACAGACCGTCGAGAGTTGCAGCGGGGACAACACTACTTCAGGAGAATTCATTTCTCTAAAAGCTCTTTAGGCTGCTTACCACAGCCACTACATTGTGGTGAGCTGCGAAGAGGGTTCTTTATAGTAAGAGCGGTTAAGGTCTGGAACTCACTGCCATCGGCAGTGATTTCAGACAAGAATGTAGATTTGTTCAAGAAATGTTTTGGACAATTTCTTGAGGGACCGTAATATCCAGGGATACCAGTATCCCTTAGGGTGCCCACACACCTTACGATTATCGTACGATAATCGCGGGAAATCCCGCGATCGTACGATGTTCGTAAGGTGTGTGGAAGCCGTGCGACCTCTACTACTGTAAGGTCGCACGACTTTAAACTTACGGACATGTTTGAAAACCCGCCGAGCATCGTACGATGTTCGGCGGGTTTGTGGCATGTCCGTACGATAACAGCCGCACGGGCCGGTGTGTGCAAGCGCACACTGCCCGTTCGGCATTGCGGTCATCGGAAGCCCGCCCCTCAGGGGGCGTGGCTTGCGATCATCGCAAGTACGATCTGCTTATGCAACATAGGCAGATCGTACGTTTTTTTAAGTACCTTACAACCATCGCAAGACAGAAGTCTTGCGATGGTTGTAAGGTGTGTGCCCAGCCTAAGAATGAGATGATGCGTGGACCTATATGGGTTGGACTTGATGGGCGTATGTCTTTATTCAACCCCAAATACTATGTAACTATGTAACTGACAGCTCAAGCATCACACTAAGAATTCTGCTTACATTGAAAGGCTAAAGAAGTTCATCAAAGTCATCTACATCTGTCATTAGGCTAGAACATCCCTTTCTTCATCCGAATGGCTGTTTTTGGTCATCAGACTTTTATTGAGAAGGCCTAAATCATGTGCCCTTCAGTACATCATTCAATTAGAAGGTAGTCTCCCACCAGTCAGAGGTTACATGACATTCTGGTGTCTCAAAATTTCAAAATGAGAGGCAAATTACCACTCCAGTTCAAAACACAAACTGCAAAATTAAACTAGGGCTAGTAGTATTTCCAATGTTTGAAATGACCTTGAAGTCAAGATAAACTGATTTAAAAAAGAAGTCTCACCTTGCATTATTTTTCACAGCTCAGTCACCTAACTTCTCAATGGTGTTGCTTTTTAATCCCCTGATTCTGTGTGCAGCAAAAGCGGATATTCAGATGGTGACAGCACGCCTCTTCCCCACCCCACCAACCCAAGCACGCTCTGCAAAAGTGACGGACCTCTTGACTGACAGCTTTTTATCTCACTTTTCCTTTGCTCGCCTGACACAAATCATGGCTCCACTTCCAGTTCAGGTGCCTGTCCTGATTCCTAGAATAGCATGCCCCCCTCCCCCTGTATTCCTGTGCTCCCACTTGTGTCAGGAAAATGCAGGGACAGGGAGCCAGCAATCAAGAAGCATGTCTCAAGAGTGAGGTGTGGAAATTAGTGGAGGGAGGGTGTGCCATTACCATGTAAATTTGAGCTTCATATGCACACAGATGCATGGGATAAAAAGCAACATATACAGTGGGAGTTATGACCTATGAAAAATAATACAAGGCGAGACCTATTCTTTAAGTTGTAAGGGTGACGAGACAGCTTTTTTGTTGGAGTGTTGTCAGCCCTCTTCAGTGTCTTTTGTTAAAATGCGAAAATGTGCAACCACTCCTACTCTCAGATCTCCGCAACATAAAGGCTAATTATTCTTGATTCCAAACAAAAAACTAGGAAGGCGCTTTGAGATAATACAGTAAGTGTGCAGAGTACACAGAAAAGCTCTAACTTTTTCTTTTTTTCTGCATCTATGGAACGTATACAAAATTCTTCTGATGGTGCATTAAATGGACCACAATGGGCATATAAGAGAAGCTCATTTTAAGGATTTAGATACACTTTAAGATCATACACCACAAGAAGCCTGCTATTACCCTTATAATGCAGAAAAGCATCTTGTGCATTCCTCTTATATAGTTTTCACATTATTTACGAAGATCTTGACTTCCTTAGATCTGTTGTGTAGTGACTAAACCTCACCCATCTGTCATCCTCTATCAAACAAGAAAAACGTCAATGGCCAAAAATTATGCTTTCTCTTGGAAGATTTTAGTATGGAGGTTGAGCCCTTAATAGGCAATGTAAAACCAGGTTTACGGAGGCAAAAACAAGTAGATTCTAGCTATCGAAAGGTAATATCAGACAACCTATGGTGCCTGAAGTTAAAATGACATTTCTTTTAACAACCATAATTTATAGTACAGCATGTTTGATAGTACAATAAAAAAATTGATTTTTATTTTATCAATGCCTCTCCCCCAGCAAGAGCTGCTATACTGGACATATACAGCCATGCACTCCCATCTCTTTCTCGTAGGGCCAGCATGTGCACATTTGGCAGAGAATGGGCTTGAAGCCCATTTGTTAATGTAATGCTATGGCAGTGGTGACATACTAGTCCATTGACCTGATGGCAACAAACCTCACAATACTCCTCCCTAGCGAGCTGGTGGTGTCCAAAATACAAATGTCCCACATTCTGAGGATTAAGAGATACCCAACTTTTTTTTCTTGCTGGTGTATGCCTGAGAACATAAATTGTAATATTGTAAATACTGAGGGATCATTTATCTATGCATAGTGAGAATGTGTGGCAATGCACGTTACATGCATTGCTGCGATGCATTTTCATTCATTTTGCATGGCACCCAAACAAACTACAACAGGCAAGTCAGTCATAAATACTATTACAAGCCTACTTGTCCTTGTTGGTACCGTCTGGGAAGATAAATGGTACTACTCTAAACATAGAGCCCATTCACATCCATTTACAAGTTACATGCATTGCCATTTATTTTGAATGACATCCAAATGCATTAAGACAACACACTATAGTGTTGCAGCAAAAATTGTGTGACCTGTCCCAATTGTTTGGGACGTCTTAGTGGATTGACAGACCATTATTACATTTTGGTAGGTTGGAAGCACAATACACATGCTTTAAAACACCACACACATGTAGGAGCCTGTTCACACTGTGCATTTCATTAAAAATTTAAAAAAGTAGTTCTATTTGAATTTCTATTTTATGTTAAATATCACTAAAAGAAAGCTCTATATATGTCTCAAAAAAATATATTAAATTACTTAGGTACAGTTAATGGAAACCCGTCATAAAAAGCAATATATAGACCATCATTTCTGATCTCCTTCTAAAAATGCCATTGGTCTGGCTGTAATTCTGTTGTCATTGTCAATGGTTTCTGAGTCACTCATTTGGATCAACTGTGCATATCCAGAGTGCAGAGTACTGACTTTTTACTTATATTTTAATTATATTTGCTAATGTACTCCTGTGACCCAAAATCAGCAAAGAGTGGTCTACTGCTATATGCTGACAGTGCAGAGCCACGCTGCAGCTGAGGATCCGAGCAATATTGTCGGGATCCACCCCACTGCCTGATTGACAACTGTGCCCACCCCCTCCCTTCTCTGTCCCTTCAGTGAGCACTGGGGGAATAGAGAGAGGGGAGGAGGGAATCCCTGGGGAGTGGTGACTGACAGTTCGGCTCACTATCTCCTCCCTGCAGAGAGCAGTAACTATCTCGTTATATACAGCCAGTGTGGGACAGCTGCAGTATCCCACGCTGGCTCTAAGTATTGGGGAGAGTATATTGTACTCTCCCAATACATCCCCTTTAAGGGCTTGTTCACACCAGATGCGCGGTTAGTGCAAGCAAAATGCATGGATAGAAGAAAAATTGCAGTTTCCAATAGGAACTGTTTCCATTACAGTGATGCATACTACTTGTGTGAGGCACTAAACTTTATCCAATATATATCCAAAATAAAAAAGGAATCATTAAAAAGCTGCTTTTCTGAAGCCCATGTGAAAGTACATCAATGTGTTGATATGTTTGTGTTCTAGTGTCTACAGGTCCTTAGTATGGAAACTTGACTGTTCCTCTCTCTAGATGAGACTGAAGTATTGCCCTATCTCTTACAACAGAATACATGCACACTCAAACATTTTGCTACAAACCCCAACAATACTAATCAAATAAATCTGTGAACCTGATGTCCATGTCCCTTTAATAAATCAGGTAACAATATTTATTAATCAAACTGGAGAGCATGGACAAAGGCAAAATGCAGAAATAAAAGGTAGCACAAATGCTATCCCTTTATAGGGTCAGATCACCCAAAGCGGATTTTGTAGAGTACTGGAACAGTCTAGGTAGGCAGGAACAATTACAGTGTCAAGATGGGAACATGGCCAGAAACTAAGGTAAGGGAATCTTGCTGCTATAGTCACTATGAGATAGGTTGCATCCCAGTCACCCATGATTCATCATGAACAAATTTGTCTTACTATATAACTGAAAGTTTATAGGACTCATACAATTGCTCTATAGGAAAAGTAAAGCTGTGGGTACGAATCCAATTTTAGTTTCCAAATTTAACACTGATCAAGCCTGGACCAGTTCTTCAACCAAACATACTTGTTAAACCTGTTCTAAATCTGCATGAAAAATAAAACAGCATAAAGTAGCAAAAATACTTCTATGTTCAGTAAGTTTGTTAGAAAATAATACAGTACATTTCTAAATTTTAACTATATACATATGAACTGCCATGCCTAAAAATACAACATACAAAGAAACAAATAAATACATACATAATCATCTTTTCCTCACAGTATGGATGTCTTGGTTTGATTTCCAGTTTCTGAACATCTGTGAATCTAATTTTTGGACCCTTCCGAGAACATTTGCATTTTGACCCTGGAAAAAAAAAACGGTATGTGGGCATCAGACTTTCCACAAGTTCAGGTCATAAAATATAATGCATAAAGTGGAGCTTACCAATGCATTTTACACTCAAAGCTAAAGAGGATAATAGAATGTAAAAGCCCCATACCAACTGCGAAAGGAGCAATGCTTTTCAAGGAATACATAACTATGTCATGCATAGCAAGATAACGTGTCACTATATTTATACATCTATTTTTACTTGCAGAATGCAACTAGCAGGTAGATTAGGCAGCATTCTATTCTGAAATTGCATGACTAAATAAGAGAAAACATAATAGGAGAAAATAGTAAAAAACGTACCTTCCACTTGGAGTGTGCAGATTGTTAGAAGGAGTAATAGGATTCCTGCATAGAGGGGTCTCATGTCCTAATTTCTGTTTTGTTGCTTATTATCTGGAGCTCTGTTGTAGACTGTGCTACCTGGAGTGGCTGCCTGAGTTCACACAAGCTGCACTCCTGCTGTGTCTGTGCTGTACCCTTACTGCCTGATTTCCACCTTCACTCTGAGCTTAGCCTTGCTTGCTTGTCCTCTTTTAAAACAGATCCTACAGCGCAGGGTACAAAGTCATTAACATGCATAGCAACCAAACTACTCACTGCAATTTCTTCACTCTGTGGAGGGTGGAGATTTCTAGCTCACCCTATCCTGTTCAGCCTGAATGTAATGACTGAAAATCAGCACAGTCTGGATTTGTAACCCACAATGTTTTTTTTTCCTAAGTAAATTTTCAATAAATGAACTTCCTGATCGATGGCATGTATGAATATGCAAGAAATAACGTGTCTATACACCAGCACTGCTTTAACTTTATTGTGTTTGATTTACTTAGTTGTAATCTGTTCAAGTAGTCAGGAAGGCTGAAAGGAAACAAAAAGAATATTCCTCTTAATCTAGTAGGTTGTTTAATGCAAATACAATAGTATTGCTACAATAGCCCTATACACTTTTTCTAGTGGCTGTCTTTATTTCAGTGTAATTACTTAGCCTCCCTGATTAAAACTGACAAAATATCAGAACTAGTAGTAAGTGGATTGTTTTTGTTCAGTCAGACTGGACTGGTAGATTTGCATTTATAGAGAGCAATAGTCAGTGCACAGCGCTGCTTATTAAAAAGAGTTGTTGACACATAGCAATAAGATTTACGTTAAAGAAGAACTCTGGGGAGAATATAAATTAACGCTTGCAGTAGGGCTACCCCTGCACTGCAAGGGCTAAGTGCTTATTTTGGTCTAGGGTCTAAAATAAGGAAGATATACTCACTCAATCCTGAATCCCATATGGCTGCTAGACTGATTCCTGTAGCCTCTTCTCCCCTGGGCTCCGGCGATCTAAAGACCTGTGACATCATCATGTCCATTCATTATGTCCTTGTACTGGACATGAGGAATCCGAGGGTCATCCCACAGCCATAACAAAGGGGGGGAGAGGTGAGTGGTCACCATCGTGGGATCTAGGATCGGGTGAGTGTTTCTTTTTTGTTTTAGACCTAGACCAAAATGAGCATTTAAACCCTTGCAGTGCGGGGATAGCCCCATTGCAAAGGTACATTTTTATTCTCTCCAGAGTTTTTCTTTAAAGTGGCCAAACTTTGGACATATTATGGGCATATGGACTTTAAATATATATATATATTAACATAACAATATATATTAACATAATAAGTCAGCTCAGCTCACACTATTACCTTCTTTGGGAGGGGAGTTGGCAGACTTTTAATCTCAAATTTAAACACAGAGCGGGTAATCTGGGAAGGGTGGCAGGATGAGCTGAGCTTCCTGGAGAAAAGAACCTGAATAATGGCAGTACCTCTGCTTTGAATTATAATGAATTGTTCCACAGTGCCTACAGCTACAAAGGTTAGTAAAGGTCTCTTTCTTTTGCTCATTTACAGCTTGTTAAGAATATGTAAATATTGCACTCCATAGAGCTACATGTTCACACATGTATGCATATCTAAAGAAAAGGAAAAGATTATTGTTTCCCTCTTAGGAAACAGGATTAGCAGGGAAGAGGAGGAGGCAATACTGGGTGGAATTTACACCATCTCACTTTTCTGTCAGACATGCTTTGGTAAATGCATCCCATATCTAAAGATGAAAAAGGGATGAAGTGAAAATGGGAACTGCTGACGGGTTTTGTGCAGTCAATAGTAGAGAGGCTTAGTATCAGCACAAGAGATAGGCTAGCAACTGTTCAGAGGCAGGTTAGCAGTGGCCAGAGGCGTAACTAGAACCTTCAGGGCTCCTGGTGCAAGAAACCATGAAGTCCCCTCCCCCCCGCCGCCATGGGAAGGCACTACAAGGCTGGGTTCACACCTAGGCGTATTGAATTTTTTTGCACGTTCCGTGACACGCGTTTTTATCGCGTTTCGCGATAAAAAACGTGCAACCAACGCGTGTTTCCGAGGGCTACTTGGCTGTATCCCAATAGAAACGCGCGACAAAAATGCCCCAAAGAAGCTCCTGTACTTCATTGGGCATAGGGCTTTTTGTAGCGCGGTAATACGGCCTGTAATACGCCCAGGTGTGAACCATACCCATAGGAAATAATGGGATTTCGGTGTTTGAGCGTTTTGCAGAGCGTTCGAACGTGCTACAAAACGCCCAGGTGTGAACCAGGCCTAAACAGGCACGTGTAGTTAACAGGAATGCTGGACCTCAGGCAGCCGTCTTCAGTTTAAAAATGTTGTGCCAGTGTTCTGTCGAGAACGTCAACCCAGTATCTGCACTTGCGCACAGACAGGATTAACGAGGAAACTGGCATTTAATTACAAAGAATTAGTTTGTAATAGTTAATTGTGACCGTTAATAATATGCCATGCATGGTAGTAAATGATGGTTGGCATATTATTAACGGTCACAATTAACGATTTAAACTACATACTTTGTCAATAAATCCCTGTTTCCTCAATAATACTGGTCTGTGCGCAAGCATATATGCTGAGGTCGGAAACTTCGACTACGTCTGCGTTCTTGACAGAACACCAGTATCTGCGTATAACGCTGGTGCATCCCTACTTAAAAATATAATGTATTGCTGGGACTTGTAGTCCTGCATAGTTGGTGGTATTCTGCAGTGCTATATAATCACTATACAGCACTGCAGAATACCACCAGCTATGCAGGACTACAAGTCCCAGCAATACATTATAATGAAAGTCAGCAATGCTGCTCCCCGGATCCCCACCATCCCGGTCCAGCCTTCACCAGACTTACCTCTCCTGCGGGACCTTCTTCCATGTCCCGGCGGCCAGGGGGCGGGACTAAGCGTAGAGTGGCAGTGGCAGATTTCTCCTTAGTACAGGTTTCCTAAAATTGTGGATATTTTACTGATGTTTTTCAACAAGGTAAAAGGCCAAAACAGTGCAGTGTATCTTTAAAATCCTTAAATTGTTTTGTTTTATTTCTATTGTCTAAACAAACAAATAGAAAAAAAATATACACCAAAAATAGACAAAAAGAAAATCTGAATCTCATTAAAAAATGTCAAATAACTTTTTTTATTATTTTTGTTATTCTAAATTCTTTCTAGGTTTATATTGTTGTTTAGATGTTAAGGCAAAAGAAAAAATTAGCGACATCTGTTAGAGAGACTGTACACAGTTTTTAATTGTTTACTGTGAACTTTACTGATATTAAAAAATCAGTAAAATACACACAAGCATTAAAAAAAAAAAAAGTCTCTTAAAATTATTAAAGTTGCCATTTGAACTTTTTCCATTACCTAAGAACTCTCAAAAGGCATCAAAATACACAAAACCCCCCAAAAAGATTTTCATGTTTTTTTTCTATGCAGTTTTGCTTTCCCTTTAAAGTTTTTGTTTGGGTTTTTGTTGCTTTTTTCTCTTTGTATTGCATATTTAACTGCTTTATGGTAAATATGTCAAATAAGACTAAAAAAGAAAGCCAACTGTCTACGGCCTCTTTAAAATTTCCAAGGTGCAAGTTTCACAATATTTTTACACCTATTGTCTGAAACACTTACGGGTCTATTCACTAAGCTGCCGAGGGCAGCCGAGTGAACAACCGACCCCAAGTGAAGTGAGCCGAACACTGTTCGGCTATTGACTTCAGGCTGGTATGGCTGATTTCAGCCGTACATCGGCTGAAATCAGCCGTACATCGGCTTGCTTCACATGGCTTTGGGTTTTAGTGGAATTAATCTTTTAATCTCTCATCGATTTACCGTATTTTTCCGTGTATAAGATGCTACTTTTTCATAAAAATGTTTACCTAAAAATAGAGGGGCGTCTTATACAGGGGGGCCGAGAGGAGAACCGTGGTTGCGAAACTGCCGATACCTCTGCAAACTAGCCTCACAAGTGAAACTTCGGATTGCAGAGACAAGATAACAGTTTTCCTCCAATCATAATTCTTTTGTACCTGACGTCAGCTGTTGCTGGGGAGAGCGAGTAGCCAGAGGTAAGTGTGATGCACAATATAATTTAAAATATTGATTTCTGAATTTTGGGTAAGAAAAGTTGGGGGCGTCTTATACATGGGGGCGTCTTAGAGATGGAAAAATACGGTAATTGCACTTCCAGTTCAGAATTCAAGTTTGGAATTTGTTATTTTTTAGCCAAATTTCAGGATTAAATCAAATGCCAACAGATTCAATCATGGCTAATGTAATAGAACAGAATGATATGACTTTAAGGAATAATTGACTGGCCAGGAGGTGTAGTCCCAACCAATAACATATAATCACATACAAGTAAATATATTTACTTAACCTCCCTGGCGGTCTGATTATTTAAATTGTATTTTCCTTTTTTTGTTCTCTTTTTCCCCGTTATTTTTACTTTCAAAATTCCAGCCGGTACCACCTTACCTTGTAAGGTAAGGTTACTTACCTTACAAGGTAAGTAACGCTACGCTGTAATCCTGAGTGTGGCTCGGGGTTACCGCTTATGGAACAGAAAATTAACCCCGAGCCAAACTCGGGATTACCGCCAAGGAGGTTAAGGGGTAGTTCACACCAAGAGCGTTCCAGGAGCAGAGCAGTTACAGACCAGATCAAAACTGCTTCCAATGTATTCCAATGGTATTTTGGGTTCTAGTTCACACCGCAGCGTTCAGTTCCAGAGCATGTAAAAAAACTGCAGCAAGCCCTATTTTACCTGCTCTGGAACGCATGCAAACGCATCAAAAACACATACAAACGCACTGGAACGCACTTAAAGCCCATTTTAAACAAAAAATGTTTTTTTCCCAAAAAAAAACGGCCCTGAACGCATCAAAAACGCGGCAAAACACACTGCACTGCGTGTGCAGAAACTCATGCAGATCTGGTCTGCATTTGGTGTGAACAAGCCCTTAGGCGTTTAAAAAAAAAACAATTGATTGGCATCCAGATTTTTATCCAAAGCCATCTGGTATCTGTAAGCACTCTAACTGAACAACTGGATATTGTTTTAAGATAAAGAGATGTTGACCAAAAAATGCTAGATTATAACCAATTAATCAAAAGTGAACATCAGATTAAGAGAATGTCTGGCCTACCCCTAGCTCCTGTTTCTTCTCTACATAATCATAATTGCCTGCACGGCTTTCTTAAAATAGGAAAGAGAAAGCTCCCATGAACTCCTGGCAATTGTTT